GTTTTTTTCTTAATTCTCTCCCCCGCCCCACTGTGGGGGGGGAGAGGGTGAGTGAGCGGCTGCATGGTGCTTAGTTGCTGGCTGGGGCTAAACCATGACAAGTGACAAAAAAAATTCTAAGTCCTGAGTACAAGAATACAGAAATAACTAACAATTCTTCACAATCACTTTGTCTGCCTTTCTGGAAGTCTGTAATTTCAGAACAGTCAGGGGCTTCTTGAGCCAGAGCTGGCACAGTTTCACTCTTCACTGATTTTTTCCTGTCACAATGATTTCCACCCCCTCCCAACCCCCCAAAATTCATGAAAACTTTCCATGTCCACAAAGTTTTGTGGCAGGGAGTTCCATAGCTTAAATGCACCTACATGAAGTATTTCTTTTAGCTTGTTTTGAACCTACTACGTACCAGCATCATTTGATGCTCCTAGGTCTTACAACAGAAGAAACAGTGAACAATCATTTCCAGTTCTTCAGACTTGTCACTTGTGACAATGAAACAAGAAAATTCTAAAGGTCACTTATTTAAAATATCTAACCATAAACACATATACACCTAGACAGGTCATTAATGAACTGCAGCTATTTCCCTGATGATTTGTGAATATTAAGGTGCTGGTTGTGCTTTTAAGTCCTTAACTCCAGTTCACTTACCCAAGGAACTCTCCTTTTTACTGTGCCGTACTGCACTTGCATCGTGTATATGGTCTCAAAAGGCTTATTTTCCACCCAAGGCATAAACATTTTATTTCTTATGCTCCAATATTTCTAAAATTAAGCTAGCATGCTGCTATCAACAGAACTGTAGTACCTTTCAATTCAAATTTAATTAAGTTAAATATCAACAGAAGCTGTACTAAGAGTATTCAAGTAGAAAAGTCTCAAATAGACTGTGACACAAAAATGTTAACTTCCTACCTAAAGCATTAAAAGTTGCAATGTGTTCCCACATGTTCTCTGGTTGGTCAGAGTGGGGCTGCCAGAGAAGAGCATCAACATCATGCCTCAAGCAAAAGCATGGCATTTCTCTGGGATCCACAACAACTGAGAAAAGATACTGGTTGCTTCCTAGATTAATCTGAAAAGAAAACAAATACAAAATATTGATTCAAAACATAAACAGTAGATTCTGTCACACATACTGCTAAAGTTAGATGACCAACAGCTTAATGTTTGTTAGTTAACAAAATGCTTGAATACATCATGCTGCATCCCACTGATCAACAGCTCAATACACTACAACTAGCTAACACATTTCAAGCAGATGCAATTAGGTTTCTTGGGATAATATTTAGGGAAACATTATGTCCACTACATAAGCAAATGGGAATAAAATGGGAATATGTGTTTTGTGTAGAAATGGTTTTCTAGGACAGAGGATCCTAACCTACAATTTCTGATGTTAAGAAAAGATTGTCTCTAAGTAAGCATGTCTGGTTTTCTGCAGTGCCGACAGGGAAGGAAATCCTGTCCCTCTGCAGTGAAAGTTGGTAAGCACTGGAACAAGGATTAGTTAGAATACTAAAATTATGAAATGTCAAAATTTTTTCATTTACAATAAATAATTACTAAATTTAAGATTAGCACATTCTTCATAAAATTTGTCTAAATCACCCAAAACATTCAGTAACCACTTCTATTCAGTAGGAATGATCAATTATACAAGAAAGAAAAGACAGGCATATCATGCTACCTGAATAAACAATAGTAAGAAAGCAATAAAACAACATATCTTTTGAGTTTGCTATGTGAAGCCTTCTAAAGGAAGCTAATAGCAATGCTTTTAATGTAGCACTATGACTAGCACATGCTCAAAAAGGAAAGAACAATCTGTTCCTTTAAGGTCTATCAAGAAAGAACACTCTAGAATTCCTGATCACAACTGATCTACGTTGTTCATGTTATCAAATGAACAAATATATTTGAACTATTTTTTATATCCAGAAGCTATGTCTGCAACGGTAACACGCATTATTGCACCCTAATACATGGTATGATACATTAGTCCTCTATGAGCATTTCAGAGGCTGACACTTGTGACTAATCATCCTCAAACAGCTGTCACAGCACTCTTATTATTACATGTATTGTGTCAATAACTGTGAACTGCAAGCCTTTATGATATCATTGTACAAGTGTCACAAGGATGGGGTCTCTTGTCTTGAAGACCTTAAGTTCATCTTAACATGAGATCCAGTGGACAGAAACAACACTTACCGAGACAGAGAAATTTGTTTACTCAAGGTTATACAGTCTCTGGCAGAACTAATGTAATTATTGCAGCTGATTAAGTTCAAGTCTAATGCCTCAACTTCAACACAGGCTTCTATTACTACACCATTCAACAGGCATACAGGTTCTTCAGTTGTTATTAAATCTACAAAAGTGAAGTAATCCTCAGTTTCCATTAAGGCCAGCTGCAATCATGAAATCAGGGTTACTAATTTTCTAAGCAAGTAAGAGGCAAAGAAACACTAATAAAGATAACATCAAGAGCTCCACTAATAAGGAGAAAAAAGCAGAAAACAGGAGGCAGGTGTTATATTGGTGCAATGCGCTGAGCAAAACAGAAGGTATCAAGTCCTAGTCCCTCAAATCTGAGAAAGGTAAGAAGTCAGCAGAGGTCAGGCAAGATGACAGCAACAGAGGTGAGTGGAACAGACCTCTAAGGAGCACAGGAAAAATAGGCAGAATTAAGGGGAAACAACTTGAGAAAGGGAACAAAGTTGAGACTTCTCAACTTCAGCTCAAGACTCACTCCATAGGCCCCTATTGCATGCTCACAGTGGCACCTGCTTTGCACATCTGGGGAAAAAGTCAATCATGGGGATTGTGCATCAAGACACACTGGCATAATGACACTCCACAGGGTCCCAGACAGTCAGTTACAGTATAATTTGACCAGAAGAACCTGTCAGAAGGTCCAGCCTCCTCAGCTGTTTTTCATCAACGCAACCTCTGTTTTGCTGCTAGACAGCTAACCTCCCCAAAAGTCATCGTTATTGCTTATACTTCATTCCCTTATCTCCCAGGTAAGGAAAGCAAGTTGTTCCTGGAGCGCCAGAAAGAAATTAAGCTTGGCTTCCCAGACACTAGAATTACATTTCCCCAAGCTTCTCTTCCCCTGAACTCCTTGTAGATGTCATCTCTTCTTGTTTTCAAGCTCTTTCCCCCCATAATCCCCACCTACTTTGTTGAGTATGAGGTAGCATAGTCTATTATTAACTCTAAACTTTCTTTGTGCTTACAGGCCAAACAGCTACTGCCTTTCAAACTGGATATGGACTAAGTTACTGTGGTAGGTTTGACTTTGGGTGGTTCCCAGACACCCACCCAGCCACTTACTCACTCCCCCTCCTCAACAGGACAGAGGGAGAGAAGATGAAAAAGCTTGTGGGTCGAGACAAAGACAGGGAGATCACTTACCAATTCTACCATCAAGGGCAAAATAGACTTTACTTGGGAAAAATTAATTTAATTTATTGCCAATTAAAAATAAAGTAGGACGATGAGAAACAAAGATTAAAAAAACCCTTCCTCATGCCCTTCCCTGGCTCAACGTCACTCCTTCATTCCTGACGACTCTACCTCCACTGCTACCAGCGTGGTACAAGGAGATGGAGAATGGGGGCTGGGGTCAGTCCTAATGGTTCCTCTCTGCTGCTCCTTCCTCCTCACACTGTTCCCATCCTCCAGCATGGCGTCCCTCCCATGGGATACAGTCCTTCATGAACCACTCCAACATGGGTCCTTCCCATGGGCTGCAGTTCTTCAAGAACTGCTCCAGCGTGGGTCCTTGCCACAGGGTTTGGTGCTTCAGGAATGGACTGCTCCAGCATGGCTCTTCCACAGGCCACAGTTCCTACCAGAAAACCTGCTCCTGTGTGGACTCCTCTCCATGGATCAGAGCTCCTTCCAGGAACCTGCTCCTGTGTGGGCTCTACACTGGCTGCAACTTCCTCCAAGGCACATCCACCTGCTTTGGTGTGGGGTTCTCCACAGGATGCTTCATGGATATCTGCCCCACTGTGGTCCTCCATGGGCTGCAGAGGGACAAACTGCCTCACCACAGGCTGCAGGGGAATCTCTGCTCTGGCATCTGGAGCACCTGCTTCCCCTCCTTCCTCCTCTGACCTTGGTGTCTGCAGTGCTGTTTCTTTCACATTTTTCTCACTCCTCCCTCTCACTGCTGCTGCACAGCATCTTTTCTTGAATATGTTTTCCCTGAGGAGCTATCAGCATCCCTGACAGGTTCAGCTGTGTTCTACAGTGTGTCTGCTGGAGTTATTTGAACCAGCTGTGTCTGGCACAAGAGGCAGGGGCTGCCTCTTGTTGCAGAGGCCACTCCTGCAGCCCCTCCACTGCCAACACCTGGGTATGAATACCCAATAGAGCTCTATAAGCTGAGGAACCACATACAGATGTCTCCTCTTGCATATTGTTGTACCTCAACTGATGAAAGCTAATCATCTTTGAGATTGGTAACAGACAGAGCACTCATCCACAGATCACTTCATTATGCATCAGTCCTTTAGCTAAGGGACATGGCTGGACTCTGAGGCATGAACTCGTACAAAACTTCTTTGAACTGAGGAAGCAGTTTCATAGAGATTCAAAAAAATGCCCAAATGTTTATGACACCGCAGTAAAATCCCAATATTGGCACAAAAGTAGCTTTGAAGTCACCAGCAATTACCATTTTCAGCCAAACGTACTACAGTATATAAATAAACTGCTTACATATGACAAAAATAAGCCTTACAGCACTGAGTAATTTGTAGGTTTCTTTCAGCAGCAGCTGCACATACTTTTAAGGGTCAAGCACTTAGTGTTTTGTAAATCCCTTATCTAGTAAAGAACATGTCAAAATTTAAAAAAAGTATTTTTTCAGAAGGAAAAAACCAACGACGTTGGAAATGTGAGTTTTACAAACATCAAGTTTTTTGTTTTAATAAAAATAAACATCTGTAGCTAAGTAAAAAACCCAAAACCACTCAACATGCAATTTAAAACTACATGTGTCCTAACAATAACATTATTACATATATGGTAAGTACAAGTGTCTTGTTACTTAACTATTGTTAATTTTTACATCACAAACAGTTTTGAACAGACTAAAGGAATTAATTTTTTTTTTTCTTTCCACGTTTCAGTAAGTTTGTGGAATATGTAGAGAAATATTTTAAATGTACAGCACCTCAGCAAAGTAATTATGAACTTTGATTACTTTTCCCCCCAGAAGTAACTTACAGTGTTTTGAAAAACAAAAAAAATTATCTAAGAGATACATATCACTTGGACAGACAGCCCAAATGCAAAAAAAGTTTGGTGAGTCTTGTCAGAACATGAGAAACTCAACTGCAACGAAGAACCATTCAAACTTGAAGCAGTTATTCAGGCAAAGTATGCAGAACCAGAAAAGCTCTTGAGAAAGACCTTGCCTCTTCTCATCTATCACCACTAGAGCATCTCCACGCCAATGGACGTGCACAAATACATGACATGCCTCCCACACTCCCGTAGCTCAGGTGTAAGCATGATGTATTTCACAGAATGACATGCAGTTTTAGTCAACAGAGGTCATTCTGGCACCTACTGGGAAGGCACACTCATGCTCCTATATAGGCCTATGAACAAGGAAAGAGCGACCTTATATGTCAGCTAGTAGAAAATAAATGGAAGTTCTTCTGGTGTGTTTCCACAATCCACCTATCAACCAGAAAAGTCTCCTGCCACAAATCAACTGTCCTCTGAAATTACCACTGCAATTAGCTGTTCAAAGACCTACATTTCCTATTTTCTCCTTGCTCCACAAATCACTGGGAATACTCTCTTCTATCTAAAAACAAGCAGCACCTCTTCCCTTAAACCGTCCCAATTTTGCTAAGTATTGGGATGCCTGGGTTTCCCCACTGAAGCACACAGCACCACTCTGTACTTCAGGCATCTTTCAGTGTTTTTTTCAACTCTTCTGCAGACTCAAGGTCAGGTTGGACAGGGCTCTGAGAAACCTGATCTATTTGAAAATGTCCCTGCTCACTGCAGGGGGGGTGGACTAGATGATCTTTAAAGGTCCCTTCCAACCCAAAAACTATTCTATGCTTCTATGATTTCATGGTCTTAAATTCTCTAAGATTCTGGACATGTTCCACAAAGTTCTCTCCAACTTAAGAGCAAAAAGACACATACAACTGTATACTACCGATGATCGTTTACTACAAAGGTGAAAAGCTCTATCAGCTATGCTTCTGAAGGAATAGGCCCCTGAACTGCTAACAAAACCCCTCCAAAAATTTGAAATAAGAACTAAATCAAAGTGAAAATATATTCCTGTATGGTGAAAAATCTACTGAAATACTCATGTTCCTTAGTCCTCCAACAAGGAGGAAAAACACAAGATCACGTAGTGGAGTTTGGAAGAGACTTCTGGACATATTCTAGTCCAATTCTCCCTGCTCAAAGCAGGGTCTGGTAGAACTAGTTATACATGCATGAAACTTTCCTACCCATAGTAATTTTCCTTTGACCATAATGCTTTAAACACATGAGCCTTCAGCTTACTTTTATGCAACCTATTTTTAAGAGTTCCTTGCAAACACCCTGGAGTTCAAACTTGCTCCACAATGTTTTGCCTGCTAGAAAGCACTATATATCAGATCTGCCTTTCTTGATCCACGGTATCATGTTCTTCCTGGTCTGTGAAATGTCACTGGGGCACAAACTTCTTACCCTTCAGGGCAAGAAGCAGTAGTTTAGGCTAAATTATTCAGACTTTATCCAGTCTGGTCTTGAAAACCTCAGGGACAGAGGCTGTACAACCGTATTAGGCAACCCAATCTGTGCTACAATCGTGCTATAAAAAGTTTTTCCTTCCATCCAGTTTGAACCTCTCGTTTCTACTTATTCCTG